TGACCGTCGGTCGAGCACTAAATACAGCCTTAAAATTTAAAATTTGAGCGTCCGACGCTCAAGTCAGTTTAGTTATGCGCCCTGTCTGTTTCAGTTTTAACGTGACGTGAGAACTCTTCGTAATCACAGTTGTTCGATTTGAATTGTTTGTGAAATTTGTGTTTTTTTTTTAGTTTTATAAACCTAATAAGAGCAGCTGTATACCAAACCGGGTATACGTACCCGCTGGTTGTCAAACTACTCTTTTTAGTGGGACACATTTAGCAAAGCTTTCGTTAATTTTATTTTGTATAAATAATAAAATAATATATTTACCTACATTCTTTGCCCTCTGACGTTTTGATATAGGATACTGAGCTTTTTATTATTGCTGAGCCTGGTATGATTTTGTTGAGCGCCAAAACCAAAGCCACTCGCTAAATTCTACATTCACAGGCCATACCTCCGGAACACATAGTTTATCAAAGAATGAGTAATCTCGCTCAGTTCTGTTTCAATTTTCAATAATAATTTCAGTATCGTTTCCTAGAATGTTTTTAATATAATCCTTAAGATTATCCTCAGTCGTGCCAATATCCAGTCTCCAATAAATGTAAAAACTTCTTACGTTCAACTGCCTTTTAGGACGCAATAGACGAGTTACCGCCTCTTATTACGGGTCTGGTCTTCTTACTCCCTCTGACTTCAGTCCATGCATTGGTATCGCCGACTGCCGTTCTTGTTACCTTACTGGCCACCGCCGCGTAAGTAATAGCAGAGCTTGCCGCCGCCGACGTCGCTGTCAACTCGGGGGCAGAGGGCGCAGTACGAGCGGGCGCGGGCTGCACTGGTAGCTCCACCGCCATCCGTGCCAGCGACAAACCTGGAGTAGTATCAAGCCCCAGTTTTGACACCGTTAACTTTCGTCGACTTTGTTGATTTTCTCCATATGTTTTCCATTTTTAAAAATTCAAATCTGTTGCTCTAATAAACTGCATTTTTTATTAGCTTCACTTAGTTATCGTCTTAGTTCACTATTTTCCTGTGCTAACACAGCAATAGTAGCTTTAATTTCGCTTAAAATTTTGGTCTGAAAACTATTCATCTTTTCTAAAATCACAATATTTACTTTATCCATTATATCTGCAAACTGGATCATCCCCTCAAGTGTCAAAGATCCTTTATTGTCTAGCGAAGTGCTTTCCTCGAAGGATAAGTTGGATGAATCTTTGTTCATCAGGTGTACATCAGAGTCACGAACTGGAGTATCATCAGTTACTCGTATGCGCTGAGTTACATTTGAACAAGTACTGCACATAAAAGTGCGGTTCAATTGCTATTGCCCCTTCCTAAACGCAGTAGAAGTAATATTTACGCATTTATAATGGAAGGCCGCTTTGCAACCCTTGCATTTTATCAGTTTACCGACATCAACTTTCCTTTTACAAACAAAACAGTTTATATTGTCCAAATCGCAATGAAAACGCTGTGCAACTGGAATAGATATAGTCAGTACGCGCGAAAATGAAAGAACTCGATAGACAGCTCGGCACTTCGCGCTATTCGCTTATTGTTTACCACGCAATATCATAATCGTCTAACAAATAATTCAATTAAACGTACAAATTACACTATGACAGAACTTTCCTATACATTACACAAAACTCTCACAACACAAAGTCCATATTAAAGATATTCCCATAACTCTGAGGACACAGTAGTTAAGAAAATAAATCACTGAGAGCGATCCGCACCGCACAAGATATCCGCCGCACCGCCAGATAATGGGTCTGGACAGAGGCGTTGCGCATAAGAACCGGTTGCAACACGGCCGTTTCTTAATGTCAAGTGCCTGGTTATGAAGATTAGTGGGATCCGAAGCACGGTTGCACCGTAAGCCGACTGTAGATAGTTGGAAGATCAATTAATGAACCAGCCACTCATGAAATGCTACCCCGCTATCTTACGAAAATCCTGGGATGGCTCCACCATGCCGGTTGGAGAGCGGAGGAGAGGGCGTGGTGGCGATTTCCAGGGGGGTTCGGCCGTCCTCGCGATGTCCATGCTAGGTATCATCAATGTTGTGACTCTGTTTACGTCCCTAGGCTATATGTGCGACGCCCCGGCCAAATGCCATTCTCTCAACTTATTCACTCCACCAATAATGAAAAAAATAAAAAAGAAGATTAAGTTTGTACAGTGGTTGCACTCCCTCTCTATCAAAGTGCACCTCACAAACATCCGAGGCCTGCACTGTAATCTCAATGCAGTCCACTACCACCTTGAGACTGACAATCCGCACTTACTCTTCTTGACTGAGACGCATATCAGATGTCCTCTAGGTGCAGCGTACCTTGGCTACCCTGGGGACACATTGGAGCATAATTTCCTTTAGCGCGTTGGAGTCTGTGTTTACGTCCGTATCTGCTGTTAGCATCTCCGTCACCTTGAAGACCCCACTTTCTCTACGATCTCGTTATTCGTATATCGCGGATACCATAACCGATGTGATACGTCAAGCGATGGAGTATTTCATCCCCTTTAGTAACTTGCCCATTCATGGTAAAGCTCGCCCATGGTTCAACGCCGAGTGCGGTCGTGCTGAAAAGTACAAGCATATGGCGTACTTATCCTAGATTGATGCTCGAGACCGCTAAGCTTCGGATGCTAGCCTTAAGAAGGGAGCCTTTAACCAAGCCACCAAGTCTTGCAGAAAGGCATTACGGCAAGGCAGTTTCGACCGCATTAAACGCTTCGGTACAAAGCTCTCTGTCAAAGCATCTGGCACTAGAGCTTTTTGGTCTCTCGCCAAATCAGTCGAGACAAACTTTTGTCTGCCTACACTGCCTCCGCTGGTAAAACCATATGGCTCACTGGCGCATGCGCCTAAGGAGAAAGCGGACTTATTTGCTTCTCTTTTTGCTTGCAATTTGCGTCTGGACTGTAGCGACAGCGTACCATCTCAATTACCTCACTGCGGTACCTCTATGTCAGAGGTCCATATCACCAACAAGGAGATTCTTAAAACCTTGCGAAGTAGACGTGAACAAAGCTAGTGGGCCTGATGGTATACCAGCTATAGTTCTAAATGTTTGTTCACCTGAGTTATCTCCTGTGTTGACGCGCTTGTTCCGCCTCTCATTCAGGACTGGAATAGTGCCCAAATCTTGGAAGGTGGCCAATGTGCAGCCTGTGCCTAAAAATGTAGCTATACTGACCCTGCCAACTATCCAATTTCAATTACCTCCATACTTTGCAAGATTATGGAGCGTATATTGAATGCCCGTTTAATGGCATACCTAGAACAGAATGACCTCCTTACTGACCGGTAATACGGGTTTCGCCGAAATCGATCATATGGGGACGTTCTAGCATAAGCCACACACGTATGGTACTCAAGTGTCTCGCGCCATACGTGTGAAACAGTGCGGAAGCACTTGATGTTTTCCTTGATGTCTCGAAGGGCTTTTACAGAGTTTGGTACGCTAGCCTTTTGGGTAAGCTTCCAGCGTACGGCTTATCCCCTGGTCTGATTAAATGGGTAAAGGACTTACTGAGTGAACGGTCTCTCCAAATCGTCGTCGATGGCTGCTCATCTGATCATGTGGCGACTAACACCGGTGTTCCTCAAGGTCCGTTCTCTCTCTTCCTGCAGCATATTAATGGTCTGCTTATGCCCGGGAAGGCAGAAGATAGCACAGTTGTGGAGAGATACCAACCAAGTGCCCGGGCCAGTCGGGATCAAAGTCAGTCCGAAATAGAAGCTATGGTTGAGCATGTGAATCTCACACTACAGGCAGTCTCCGAACGGGGCGATACCAATCTCGTAAGATTCAACGCCTCCAAAATACAAGCGTGTCTTTTCACTGCTAAAAGGAGCCCGCTCACTCTGCCTCCTACTTTCCGGAATGTATCCTTGGAGTACACTGGCCGCCTTCAGTTGTTAGGGGTTGAATTTTCTCCGACCCTCAACTATGGGTGGTTGACTGAGTTCAGAGCCAAAGCAGCCGCGAGGAAACTTGGTGTCCTTGCAAGGGTGCGGCGGTACTTCACGCTGGAGCAGCTTCTCACCTTATATAAAGCGCAAGTCCGGTCGTGCTTGGAGTACTGCTGTCACATATGGGCTGGTGCTACAAAATTCCACCTGGCTGCGTTGGATTCAGTGGAGAGACCTGCTAAGAGGCTCACTGGTGACCTTGATTTAGTAAAAACCAACCTTGTCAGCCTCAAGCACAGGCGCAGAGTAGCGAGCCCATCAGCATTCTATAGGATGCATTCCGGAGTGTGTGCGCAGGAATTACACGCTATAATTCCTCCCTCTCCTTTCCACCATCGGACGACCAGGCGGTCGGCGGTTTACACCCCTTTGTTGTCGTTATTCCAGGTATTGGAATCAAATGGTTTGTTTCGACTTTTGTCATGCGTACAGCAAAAGAGTGGAATAATTTGCCGGCGTCTATCTTTCCGTCCGACTACAATCTGGGCGTTTTCAATGCTAGAGTGAATAGGCCTTTGTTACGCTAAGACTGTGCGATTTACCATCTAAGGCTGCATCACCACTTACCATCGAGTGGAATTGTGGTCAAGCACTGGCTTATAATAAGTTAAAAAAAACCTAGAATCATAATCACATAAAGCAAAAATCTTGCAACATCTCACAGTTGTTCTGCTAATACAGTTGAACATATCCAAAATCGTATTTATTTATCTTAGTAATTTGTACCAATAATTCTCTTTCTCTCTTGAACTTAACACATTTCGTTAATCGATACTCGTAATCGATAGTCATCGATAGACCCTCAAACTTCACAGTGAAGAGAAGTTGCTATATATACTATGAAATATTGTTGATCGATGATAAGTCTACGAGTCACAAAATTCACTTACCAGTAAGTGGAATGTATACTCGTTTTTAACCATTATTTCTATTATAAGACGGGTTGAAGATAATGAAAAATATGAAACCCTACAAATGTAATAATATTCAGAAATGTAATCATTTGTTTTTTTCTATTTGCCAGGTAATGGCTACATCGAGGGAACAGAGTTGGACGGCTTCTTGAAGGAGTTTGTTTCCAGCGCTAACTTCATCGATGTCAGTCCAGACGTAAGTAACTATTTTCATATTATGATCAGATCTTAGAAATAAAATATTTAGAACTAGCTGATACCCGGCGCATTGCTGCTGCAGAAGAAATAATCGTGGAAATATCGTTTTAAATTTGGAAGGGTTAATAATAATAATGTCCTCCTGACCCAATTTCGGTCACGGCCACCTAGACTAGCTATTTGCGCAGAACAGGATTATAGTGTTCAACTGTATGCGCAAACACCGTTGCACTCTCTATTTCCTCACTCTCATAGCCCGATGGGATGGTAAACTCAATCTGAGATCAGGCGCAGTACCAACGGCTTTACGTGCTCTCCGAGGCACGAGGGCGAGACACCGCCAACTTCCTGACTTTCAAATAAATTTGTCGGTACGATATGCCCGCCACCACATGTACCGTCTACTATGACCTTGATGCTCCGATTAGCAAGGAAACTAGTGAACCAATTGCACAATTTCTCGGGAAGTCCATAGGAGGGGAGCTTTGTAAGAAGCGCTTTGTGCTAGACCCGATTGAAGGCCTTCGCTATGTTCAAACTAACGGCCAATGCCACCCCATTGGACTCTACTGCCTCCTCTCATCTATGAGTCAGGTAGACCAGGAGATCACCAGCTGATTGACCATAACGTAAACTGTATTGGCAGTCACTAATCACATCAATTTGGAGAACAAGGAGGTGATGGCGATAGGCCTGTATTTGGACGGGTCTGAACGGTCGCTTTTTTTAGGGATCGGGTGGACCAAAATTGTCTTCCATGAATTCGCGACTACCTCTTGGGAGTAGAAGTACCGGAAAAGACGCGTTAAAACCGGTGCCAACTCCGGAGCACACACAGTCTTCCGCACAATAGAAGGGACTTCATCAAGCCCACTCGACTTGCTGACGTCTAGGGAAAGGAGTGCTTTGCGAACCGAGCGCTGTGTAAACCGCACATCCGGCATGGAGCACTCACATCGCAGGATGGTCGGCGGTGTGTTCCCCCTGTCATCGAGAGTCAAATTGGACGCAAAGAGATATCCTAACAGATCGGCCCTCTCCTTTGTGAGTCGTCCTCTCTATGCAGAGGTGGAAGAGATGGTTGAAAGAAGTTCCCTTGGACAGCTTTGGCGATAGACCAGAATGCACGGGTACCCGAAGGAAGGCGAACTAGCTACTCGCCAATACTGCTAATGTGCTCAGACCTAGCCTTAGCAATGACTCATTTGAAGGACCTGGAGGCGGAATTATACTTCTTTTTAAGAGCGCTGGTGTTTACATCCCGAGACGTTGAAGCGTCAACCTAGGCCCGGTAGAACTCCTGCTTATAGTGTGATGCTACTTTACGGAAGCGACCAAACCATAACTGGGATCTGCCTCCGATGAGTACCACAGAGGATGGAATGAAAAGTTTCATACCCTGAAGTACCACATCAGTGACAGAATTAGCAACAACGTTGGGATCGTCCGGCGAGAAGCAAACCCACCCCCAAGGGTAGGATGCAAAGAAAGACCGTAACCTATCCCAATCGGCCGATCTATAGTGCCAAACGTGGTGGCAGCCTGCAGAATGCAACCGCGATTTAAGCGTGAGTGACACCGCACTCTGGACTAGACAATGGTCCGAGGAGTCAAGTAGGGCGTCCACGGACACCTGATATCCGTCCGGATGAGAGGTCAGCAGAAGGTCCAACAGGGAAGGTGCATGATCTTCTACATCCCTGTAGGCGGAGTAACCAGCTGTGTAAGACCATATGTCAAGGCAAAGTCATAAACAGATGTTCCCGTATAATCGATGAAATGTGAACCGAACCATTCGGCATGGGCGTTAAAATCGGCAAGGATCACGATCTCTGCGGATGGGACCTGTTGTAGCAAGGAATCTTTAGCTCTCTGGACTTGGTCGATGAGACGGTCTGTTTCGGCATTGCCGCTATGGGATCTATAGAGGCACCCGTAGACGCGCGGATGGTTGTCGCTGTCGTCGTTGGAATATCGCCCCCCCCCTCCCCCCTCCAGAATACGCGGGGCAGCCTGAGCACCCACGCATAGAAAGAGTAAGATAGGATGCTAAGCGAGGGATTTTCTGTCACCAGAGGTGCTGGTACCCTCCTAGGATAATTTTTTTATTGATTCCGCTACCAGGTTAAGGGGGGAGGGAGGAGGAATCGGGCCTCTGGCCACATGCACTTGCCAAGCGAAATGCAAAGGAAACCTCTACTTCACGCTGGTATTCTTGAGCTGCCGCGTGGCTCTACCGCTGTTACTGCTTACCACGTGGGTCCATGCGCTGCTGGTCATCGCCGCTGGTGGCAAGACGGCTGGTTCTTTTCTTGCCGAAAGAATAAGTACAGCCATTTAGCGAAAAAACACAGCCACCGTACTTGTAACCGTACCGTTGGCAATAGAACTGTTTGATAACTTTTGTCTTATATATATATATATATATATATATATATATATATATATATATATATATATATATATATATATATATATATATAAAAGAAAACCTCGACTCTTTAAATGATTACGTTTATTATAATGTCGTATGACACTGTTATAGGGCCACACGACTGCAACTTAAATAATAGTTACTTATTTGTTTTGCAGAAGAGAAATCTCCAATTGAAAACCTAAAGAGCCCCTGAGACAATACTTTAAAGAATAATAATATATTCACTTTGGCCTTTCAATACAATTACGAAAATGTTATATATATGTACACGAAAATTTATGTAGTTTAAAAAAATAAGTGATATTCATTCTGTAAATAATAGGAACATAAACTACTCGATCCTACAGAGTTAAAAATTCATTCGTGGGGCAATGCATAATATATACTGACATTTATAAATAAATGTCAGAAAATATACACCACTGCCAAGTTCAAAAACTTTATTAAACAAAGATTGTATAAAAATTTATTATAATAATAAGGGATTACAGATCATATTCCCCAGGAAAGGAGGTGGTCGCTACCAAGCTTTGTCTAAATTGTTTTGTCTTGTTAATTGTGTAACATATAAAAACTGTTCCCTTTTCAAAAAAATATGTCCTGCTTGGTTCTGCCGGTTCTTTTCAAGACAGAGGTTGGTAAATGAAACATAAGAATGACGTTCAATAAGTATATTATTTATAATCAACATTGAATAAAAAAATATATATTTCTATCAGTCCTGCATTTATGTTTTTTATACATGACAACACTTTATTTTCTTAGTTCTAGGTCAACCTTGTTCAAAATAATGCAGCATACTTAATTTAAAAGTCAATAAATACACATTTTCCGTTTACTCGTATCATATAGCTGGCACAATTTGGGACATCAAAAGCTGCATATTTTGTTATCTCACTCTCAGTTTCGTCACCGAAAACTTTATTTCTTGGCGAAACTTTTACGTTATTATAAAAGGTCGCATAACTTTCTACTCCTTTCACTGGTTCATTATTTATTAAAACGAACACATTAAGAACAAATAAACTACATAAAATCAATGCAACGACCTGTGGCATTTTAATTGTTTCCTATCAAAAATACTATAACAGTTCAACTTATCACACAACTACACTATTTTCAATTAAAACTGTGCTACTTTTACTTTTGCAATTTTGACAGCGTGATTAGTAAATAATGTTTAAATATATTAGTAATTAAACTTTTCTGGTCAATTATTTTACAATTATACTCGTACATTATGATACTTCACTAATAAAACATAAAAAGATATGTACATAAATAAATAAAAATTATTAACTACTTCAATACAATTCAAAACTATGTTTACAACATTACATTATATTAAATTATATATATCCTTACCGAATTATAAATATTTTATTTTTTATCCAATTATTTCACTTTTGCAAATAGGGGCAATTTTTGATTTGATATACACCAAGAAAAATTACACTGAATTTGTACTTGTTACTGAAATCAGTTCTTCATTTAATCAAACAATGTAGCAAAAATCAGAAAATTGTTTTATTGTTTTTATTTTTATTTAAAATCAATAGGTACACAATTTTTATTTACTATTGCCATACCAGTGGCGCATGTACCAGCTTCAAATGCAGCGAGTAACATAACTATACTCTTAGATTCACTGTTACTATTCGTGTAATCTACATTACTGGACCAATCTGACTCATTTTTTCTAATGTCTAATTCGACATCACCTTAAGTAAAATTTGATCCATTAAAGCTTGAATATGAATGCACTGTGGTGGTTGTGGACACGAGCAACAAAAGAACACACCATGCCTTCAGAACTGTCTTTGCATTGTAAACGTCTTTATTCTAAGCTATCAAATTCCACTTTATTAAGAATCATTTAACGAGAATTCTGTGAAAATCGTTAAATTGTAAAGCCATTAAGATCAACAAGGAAACGACCTAACGACCGATCCGGTTTCCGATAGACAATTATTTTAATTAATATTCTTGTTTATAATTTATATACTTTATTTATAGTTTATAATTGTTGATTCTGCTGACCATTTGCTGGTTGAGGTCTCCCTGAATAAAATCCTACTTGAGTTTTCTACAGTCCCTCTCTTTCTATAAACTATTTCACTTCTTTCGAATCACTAGTCCCTACTCGTATTTATAGTCACACTATTTTGATGGGTGACTTTAACACCTGTTTGCTTAAAGGCAACAATTGGGCTATTAAAACTTGAGTCTATAATTGAAGCGTGTATTATGTAAATTCTACCCCTTTCTGCTACTCATAACTTTCCTAACCGTACTCCTTCCTTTCTTGACTTAATAATGGTGTCATCTTCAAATATAGTTTTCAAGCGCGGACAGTGTCCTGCTGATGCAGTCTCTTATCACAACTTAATTTTCCTTTCGTATAAACTACGCCTTCCTAAAATCAAAAGTAAATTAGTTCAGCAATGTAATTTTGGAGGAATGGATATTGACCAAATTTGTGAAGATGTTTTCTCATAATATTGACTGGTCAGTGATAGTCAGCACCATGCATTGACAATAAAGTGGAACTTTTCTGTTCG